TAGTTTGGCAGCTTTTTAAATAATAAATTATACCTCTACCATATATTCTATCCATTCTACTTCTATGTACTCAAGAAAACTAAGAGCATAACCCACACAAAGATATCTAGAGGAATAGTCATTCTATTTTAACAGCCCCAAACTGAAACAAACCAATGTCTACCAACAAGTGACTATATAACCAAATTCTGACATATCTACCCTATTTAGCAATAAAAGGAATGAATTATTCATACACACAACACCATGAATGGACCTGAAAATCCAATGTCCCCTCCCCCAAGAAACAGACCACATATTGTACAACTTTATTTCTATAAGGTTCTAGAAGAAGTAAACTAAGCTAGTGGTTACCAGGGGATGGGAGGGTGCCAGGTGGGCAGGAGGCAAGAATCACAAAGGGACTCCTGGGAACTTTGGGGATATGGGCACATTCATTATCCTGAAGGTATTATTGGTTCCACAGGTGTGCACATATATCAAAACTTATTAAATTGTATATTTTAATTATGCATAATATTGAAATTCAATATATTTCATCAGAGTTTTTCAAAAGTAAGTCAGTGGATTAAGAAAAGTAGTAAAATTTTAATGATGGATCTGAACAAAGCATGGAGGTTATAGCACAGAGAGACAAAGTTGTTAAAAGCCCCAGCTGGTTTGGCTCAGTGGAGAGAGCATTGCCTATGGACCAAAAGATCTTGGGTTTGGTTCTAGTCAAGGGCTCAAATCTCAGATGCAGGCTTCTCCCCAGCCCAGACACTGGTTAGGGCACATACAGGAGGCAACCAATTGATATGTTTCTCTCACATTGATATTTCTCTCTCTCTTCCATTCTCTAAAGATCAGTGAATAATGTCCTTGAATGAGGATTTAAAAAAAAAAAAAAGAGGGGTGGAAGACTGAGGAAGGACACCTTCATTATTTTAGTGTTCCAGAAGGAGAGGACAGAGAACAGGGCAAGGGTGGTGTTTGAGGAATGAGGCCTGAGAAATTTCTAGGTAGACATCAATCCACAAATCATAAAAGCCCAATGGATTCCTAATCCTATATAATAAAAAGATAATATGCAAATTTAACCCTCATGCCCTCACTCACAAGATGGCTGCCCTCCTGTTTTCACAAGATGGCCACCCCCACATTGTCACAAGATGGCTGGGAGGGGAGGGAAGTTGGGGGCGACCAGGCCTGCAGGAGAGGGCATTGGGGATGATCAGGCTGGCAGGGGAGCAGTTAAGAGGCAATCAGGCTGGCAGGCAGAGTGATTAGGGGCAATCAGGCAGCCAGACAGGTGAGTGGTTAGGAGCCAGCAGTCCTGGATTGAGAGAGGGATCCCCTGAGGGGTCCCAGATTGGAGAGGGTACAGGCTGGGCTGAGGGACACCCCCCCCCCCAGGGCACAAATTTCGTGCACCAGGCCTCTAGTGGAATAAATAAAAGTAACACAGACCTCTCTACATATTACCTAATAATAGTCACACATGTAAAATGACCATACCTCTGCTACACCCATAGCCATTCAGGAGTGAGTATGCAAACTAACCTGGCAAAGATGGTGGTTAATTTGCATGTGCAGGCATGAAGTGGCTGACAGGGGTGGGACACCTCCTATAAGGGGGGGAGGGGGGGCGGCATTAGGGGAAACTATAGGAGTGGTGCTCTGGCAGGGAGTGGAGATTTGCAGGCTCCTCGGAAGCTGGGAACAAAGCCAGGGGAAGGAAGGCCTCCTCTTGCATGAATATCATGCAACAGGCCTCTAATATGTATTGATATATAACAGGCAAATAATATAGATAGATCTAAAATAGGTACAGAAAATGTATACATATGTATGTAACAGATCTATATGTACAGACAGATCTAAAATGGGTACAGAATCCTACAATTCTGGATGGGCAAAGCCCTTAAACATCTGCTAATAACAGACCTCAGTAAGAAAGTGGGCGCAGGGCTGCCGCTTGCTCCCAGAGGAGGGAAATGCACAGCCATTGTGGAGGGACTTGGTAACAACTTGTAAAGTTGAAAATGTGATTACTTTATCATCTAGCAATTCCACTTTTAAGTATGTTTCTTAGAACACCTAAGGAGGCATGCATACACATGCTCATTGCAAAATAAGTCAAACATTTTGGAAATAAATGAAATGCTATACTCATGGGATGAGCACTCTATAGCAATGAAGGGAATGAATTGGAGCTGTATGTAGCAGGATGGCTATATCTTCAGAAACACAATGTTTAAAATCAGGCAGAACAATAAATATAGCATATTTTAAAGACCGAAATCAACATTATTATATGCAAGTAGTAGATATCTCAATTTTCCAAGTATGAGAACATGGATTGAAACAATTAGTGCCTAATACATAAAACTACAGCATTAGATTCTGTGTTTTATTTCTTTTATTTTGCATAACATTTAATGTAAAAAGTAATAGTTTATGTGGTATTTTTAAAGTCTCAGAAGCAAATATAACAAAATGTTAACATTTGTTCACACTGGATCATTACCCAGGAGTCATATATTTTCTGAGCTTTCTTGTATTTTATTTTGTTTTCTTTTCCAAAACAAGAAAAAAAAAAAAAAAAAAAAAAAGGACAGATATTCTGATACAGAAAGCTCATCATTCTCTATGAGCAAAGGCCTGGAGGGGGATCTCAAGTGCAATATTTCTTTTTCTTTCTTTTTCTTTTTTTAATTAAAAAAATATATATATGTTATTGATTTTTACAGAGAGGAAGGAAGAGGGATAGAGACTTAGAAACATCAACTGCCTCCTGTGCATCGCCTACTGGGGATGTGCTGGCAACCAAGGTACATGCCCTTGACTGAAATCGAACCTGAGACCCTTCAGGCTGCAGGCTGATGCTCTATCCACTGAGCCAAACTGGTTAAGGTAATATTTTATTTTCTATAGAACATTAAGACAACTGAAGTAAAATGGGAAATTGAATTAAAAATACAGGCTTCTTAGTTGGTCCGAAGGTTGTGGGTTATTGTTAAGCTGATTAAAAATACAGGCTTCTTTCTTGAGGAGAGAACACACAAGTTGATAATGGTAGAGATGGATATATAAGTTGAGACATACAGGGTGTCCCCAAAAATGTATATGCACTTTGAATGATTATAAAGTCAGTGTTTACAAACATTCAGTTCATTTTGAAGATTTAAAAGAATCTACAGAAATTATATATATATATATATATATATATATATATATATATATATATATATATATATATAATCATTTCCATGTTTTTGAACTGATGACCATTCTGGTCCAGGCATTACTAATAGTGCGATGCAATAGAATCATAAACATCAAGAATAATTTTTTTTGGTATTTATGTGCCCTCAATTCATTGACTGTTGCCAGTTTTGTGCTATAAACTTTATCTTTTATGTGTCCCCCATAAAAAAAAAAATAGTCTATTGGCACTTTATGATAAATTTCTTTTGTTCAAAGCTTAGTCTGGCTTCACCTATTATTTCAAATCAGATAAACCCGAAAAGGAGTGAAAATTAAGTGAGTTATCAGCTGTCAAAGTATATACTTTTTTGGAACATCCTATCTATATGTATACATACAGTCACATGTGTGCAGATGGATGGATGGATGGATAGACAGATGAATGGTTGGCATGGCAAGCAGAAGAATGTTTCCCAGCCCTTAATCCCCAGGTCCTGTGAATATGTTACCTTCCATGGCAAAAAGGCCTTTGCAGGAGTAATTGTGGGCACAGTAAGATGATGAGATTAGTGGGGTGAGCCCCATTTACCACCCCAGTCTTTAAAAAGGAGAAAGCGGCGGGAGATTGGGTCAGAGAGATGGCGGGTGCTGGGAAGGACAGGATGTGGTTTGAGCAGAAGCGTGGCTCCTCAGGATGCTGCGAGTCAGCAAACCAGCTTCACCAGGGATGTCAGGAAAGCAGACTCTCAACCCCAAACCCAGACCCACTGAGCAACACCCAACAGCACAGGAAACTGCAGGCAACTCTGGTGCCCATTGCGGGCAGGGACCCTGGGGCAGGCTGCTATCTGGCATACAGGCCCCTGGGAGGTCACCTGACTTCTGTGTGTCTCAGTTTCCCCTTGAGAAAAGTGGGGTGTCATGGTGCAGTGCCCTGTAACGAACAGCCCTCGGCGATGGCCACTCTGGACGCCCGGTCCTGGCAGACACTCAGAGCAGGGCCAGGGCCTCAGAAGCGGTGCCTGTAGCCACGGAGGCTGAGACGCTGCAGGGCAGAGTCAGGAATGGGCGTTGCCTCTTGAAGCACTGCTAGGCTTCGGATCAAAGACTGACAGTCGTGGGGTGCAGAGGCTGAGCGTGCCTGGAAGGGGAGGCTGCTGGGGGCCAGAGGGTCTTAGGGACATGGGTCAGAGTCCTATTAGAGAATGGGAGAGGGCCAGCAACACCGCACCAGGTCACCGAGTGGGAGAGGAGGAGGTGGTGCGGAAAGGAGACCGGAAGTTTGGTGGCAGCACAGCGGGTTATGCACGAAGGAGCAAGACCATCCGAGAATGGCATTACAACCCATATGCCACACACTGCCTGTGCGCTGTGGTGTGCACGTGGCAGAGAACAGTCTGCAAGGGCGTGTGATACTGGCCCTGACTGTCTCCGGTGGAGAGGTTATTGTTGTCTCTTGGTTCATCTGTATCTTCTAATTTCCTGCAGAAGACCTGCACCGTGTGCATAACTAAAAAGCAGTAAAAGCTGTGACAATTAACACGCTTTCTCGTCAGGACTTCACCTGGGGGGGGCGGGGGGGGGGGTCCCAGCTATTTCAAATGTGTGCCGGGGCCCTGGCCCTGGGAAGGTGCTGTTGAATCCGCACAGCCAGAGGGCTGTGGGGACCAGCCAAGTCCTGTCCCCCCCAACCCCAGCCCCGGGCAGGCACCCTTCCCCTGGAGCACAGAGGCCCCGTGAGGTGTTCTCCTGGGGCTCAGTGAGCCCCGGGTCTGCCGTTACCAACAGGACAGCGGTGGCCACACACCTACCTCCTCGCTGCTCTCTGCTTGCTGCTCCCCCGGCAGGTCCTCGCCCTCCTCCGAGGCGGTCCCCTTCTCCGTCCTGGCTCAGACCCCGGTCCGGCTGTCACCCCGGGGGCTGCTGGGCAGGAGAGCTGAAAGGACCAGGCACGTTGGCATCATATTGCTCAGAGCCCTGCTGGTGGGGACGACCCTAAGGGCTCTGTCTCCTCTCGGGGGGAGTACTGCCTCGCCAAACAGGGTGAGAGCTCCTGGGCAGGGCCTTTGGAGTGCTGCTGGGTCCCCAGAGGGAAGCCCAGAGGCCTGTGTTCCTGGAGGCCTGGGGAGCCTCATGGCCGGCTCCTCTCCCCCCCCCCCCTTCTCCCTCCCCAGGAATCCCTGCACCCAACACCGCATTGTCTCGGAGAAGGAAGGCTAGCCAGGCCTGGAATGCCCTGTCTGGTGCCAGTCTCAAGAGGAAGAAGCTCCGCCCGCCCACCTGGGAGACCAGCCTGCCAGGCTCTGGGCCCGGCCTGTCATTGTCCCCACAGTGACATTGGCACTGAGGCTCCCGCACCCTCGTCTGCTGCCCCGACCTAGACTCCAGAATAGGACAACACCCCCCCGTTGTAAAAGCCAGAGGCGAGGGGTCCCTCTCAATGGGCCTGTGGCTGTGGACTGACTGTTCGATCACCAGTGGGGACTCCCCCATCCCCTGTCTGGAGTCCATCTCGCAATAAGAGTTTCTGGCTTATAGTCAGATAATCTTAGACAACCAGAGAGCGTCCTTAGGCAGCGCTCATGTCACATGTTGCCTCTGCCGCCAGGAAGCCCGGAGTTAACGTTTGTGTCTAGTTAGGGAAACTCTCTCACCCAGAGTCTTGGGTACAATTAATCCCTCCTTTGAAATTTTTTCCCCATGGTTTTCTTTGGTGTGGCATTTGGGGCCTTTGTTCTGCCCTGCCCCCGCCCCGGCGTGGCAGCCCAGGTCCCTCGAGAACAGGCTGGGAGGACGCTCTAACGGAGGCAGAAGCCACGGGACTGCTCCCGCTTCTCCATCATGGCATGTCCTACCCGCTGGCAGCGCCCTCTGCCCGGGACCCGGGGCAAAGCTGTGTTACCGTCCACGGCTGCGTCTCCCCTCCTTCTGCGGGGCTGGTCCCGGTCCTTCGTCCTGACTCCGCCTCGCTCACCAGCCCGGCCTCTGCACCCGGGGCCCGGGCACTGCTCCCAGGGCGGTGCAGCACCCAGGCCTTCTCCTTCCGCTCCGAGGGCAGCGGCAGGCTGCCGCCCAGGCAGCACCAGGTGAGCCGGGGCTCGGCCCGCAGCGAGGGGAAGGGGCCCTGGGGCCCGCAGAGGCTGGAGCTCTCGGAGGTCCTGCTCCTGGCCAGTGCAGGCCAGCCTGCGGGCGGGGGCGCCAGGACGACGGAGCTGGGATCGAGGGGGCAGCAGGGGCTGCGCCCCGCCGCCACCTCCCTGCCGAGCGTCCATGGACTGTGGAGACTGGCCCGCGTGCTGCCCACACAGAGCTGTCCGGCGTCTCGGGCCTCACTCCTCCCCGAGCCACAAGGCGGGGTGGGCAGAGCAGAGGCCGTCTCCTGGGGGGCCCTGACACTAGAGCCCGGAGATGCCCCGGCCGCGGGGGTGCTGGTGTCCAAATCTCCTTTCTCTTCTCCTGGTACCCCCTTTCTCCTGCCCCACAGCCTGGGCCAGCTGGAGTGCTCCCCGCAGTTGTTGGTTCCACTCGGGGCCGGGCCTGGGGCAGGGTGGGTCCCCAGCCCTCGCCCAGCAGTGGAGGCTGGGTCCTGGGGCGGCCCATTCCCGCAGGGGGGGTCCCCGCTGCCCTCCAGCCCCGGGGCGCCCGGCGGCTGCTGCGGTGTCTCTCTCTGCGGTAACCGGAGCAGGTACTTGGGAGGGAAGGTGGTGTCCGGAGGCTGAGCTGCCAGGGGGGCGGCCCCCCCGGGGGCTCCAGCTGCAGGACCATGCACAGGCGCCTCATGCCTGGGCCCTGCCGGTCGTGGGGCCACGGAGGGCACAGAGAACGATGCTCCAGAGGTCCTTCTGCCATCCCCAGAGTCACTGTCCCAGTTCAAGGAGGGTGGGTAGCTGTCCTGCGCTGGGCCCCTGAGGGCCTGGTCTCTCCCTCCCAGAGACCCCAGCTGCTCCAGGCAGCTCAGCTGCTCCACCCGCAGCTTCTTCCTCTCTGAGGGCAGCTTGTCCCCAGCAGGCGGGGGCTCCCCGGAGCTCCCGCTGGGCCGTCTCTGGACCACAAGGGCCTGCTGCCAGGGCCCCTCGGCGTCCCCGCCACTCCCGGGGCCGCCTTCCAGCTTGGGGTCTGGCAAAACCAGCCTGGGAGCCTCCAGGTCCCCACCTCTGAGGGGACCAGGGACTGGGGACAGCTGACACCCCAGCTCCGGACCCCGGGGTTCTCTGCTGCTGAGGGCGGGAGGTGCTGGGACCTCGCCCGCCCCAGGCTCTTCAGGGCCTCTGCCTCTGGCCACTGGCTCCCCCTGCTCGGCGGGCTTGGTCCCCAAGAAGCCTTCTGCGGCTGGTGGGCCTTCCCAAGGCTCTGGCCTGGCCCCCTCAGAGGTGTCCGCACAAGCGGGGGTCCTCCTGTCCTGGGACTGGGCTGCGCCCTCGCCCCCCACCGCCTCCTCCAGCACCGGCAGGTCCGGCTCTGCGCCCCAGCCCGCGCCTGCCCCCCGGGCCCCCCTGCCCCGCTGGCGGCTCCCCCGCTGGTAGAGCCGCTGGAAGGTTTCGCAGCCGTACACCTGCCACTTCTCCTGGGAGAACGGCCGGGCCTTCCTCGGGCCGGGCCTCCTCGCGGCCGCCCTGCCCCTGCCCGCCGGCCCCTCCCCGGCGGCAGCTCGCATTCCGTCCCGGTCCTCTGCGGGGGCCTCGGTCTCCCCGGGGGCGGGACCCGGCAGGTCCTCCACGGCCGCCTGTCTGACCAGGGCCCGGGGGTGACTACTGGGGGCCTCCCCGGGTCGTGCAGGGACAGGCCTGGGGCTCAGAGGCCTCAGCCTCCCGCGACGGGCGTCCAGCGGCTCCCGCCACGGCCCGGTGCCCTCCACGAAGGGCAGCGAGTTGCTCCTGGTGACGGGCACGCACTCCACGGCGGCGGAGAGCTGCGTGGGGACGGAGTGGAAGAGCAGGGGCCGCGCCGTGTCCGCGGCCGCGCAGGGGGAGCGGGCGGGGCCGGGCGCCCCGGGCCTCCTGCGTCCCGGCTCCAGGGCCCGGATCTCGAAATGGAAGGAGTCCTTGTAGGTGTAGGGCACGGGCAGGTCGATGCTGCCCTGCTTGGACAGCACGGTCTTGCGGGGCCGCACGTGGTCCAGCTGCGGGTCGTCCACCACGGCCTGGTTGTGGGAGATGAGCCGGGCGATGCGCTCCTCCAGCCGCCGCTTCTCCAGCTCCAGGCGGGGCTCCTGCCCTCTGGGCTCAGCCCCGGGCCCCCCGGGCCGTGGGGCGCCCTCCCTCGGGGCCTCCACACCGGGATCCGACAGGCCGTGCGGGGGGCTGCCGGGGGCCGGCGGCTGCTCCGAGCTGTCGGAGCGGGACAGGTAGCCGGAGTCGGTGCTCTCACACTTCCTCAGCCGGCTCTCCGCGGCCCGCGCGTCCGGGGGCTTCTCGGCGGCCCGGGCCGCTGGCTGCAGGGACGCCCTGCCCGCGGCGGGAGACCTCTGCTCCGGCGGCCTAGGCCCGCGCTGAGGGCTGGCCAGGGGGGGCCCAGCGGGAGCCGCGGGGGGAGAGTCCAGAGGGGCTTCTCTGCCGTCCGGTGCAGACCCCGGACAGAAAAGGGCTTCCGACTTCAGATCCAGGCTCGTGGCAGTCGGGGACAGGTGCGTGGCGGGCCCCAGGCAGTGCCCAGAACCCTGGACACCCGGCGAAAGGGGTCTCTCTGATCCAGCCCCGTCACCCCCACCGAGGCTCCCGCTGTCCCCGCTGCCGGCTGCCCCGGGGGTCTCCACAGCCTTGTCCCCCTCCTCCAGGAGGCTGCCGCCCGCGCCGTCGGAGCCCACGGACAGCCGGGCGTTGTTGAGGTGTGTCTGGGTGCGCCGGTGCTTGTACAGATTGCTCTGGGTCTTGAAGGCGATGCCGCAGGTGGCGCAGGGGAAGGGCCTCTCGCCAGTGTGGGAGCGGATGTGCTTCTCCAGCACGCTGGGCTTCAGGCAGTCCCGGCCGCAATGTGGGCACACGTACTTGCCAGCTGTGCGCGCCTTCCCCGGACTGCCCAGCGCGGGCCCCGGCGACAGGACGGGCAGCGTGCCCACGATGTTCACTGTGACCGTCGGGGTCACTGGCTTCCCGGCCTGGGCGGGGCCAGGGCCTTCAGGCTGCAGTAGGGGGCTGAGGAGGAAGGGCACGCTGCCCCCATCTATGCCCGTCACCAGGGGAGCACGCGGCTGCAGACCCCCGGGCGGCACTGTGCGGTACAGTGGGATGGGCAGCGCCTTCAGGAACACGGTGGGCGCCAGGCTCTGCTCTGGCGGCAAAATGATGGGTCCCAGAGTCAGGTGTGGTGAGGCATGCCGCCCTGGGGTCCCAGGAGTGCCAGGGGCAAGAGCTGGCTGATCCCTAGCAGGTGAGGCCGGGCGGTTGAGTCCTGGCACCTCCATCCCACATGGTCTGTGTGGCCCAGGATGCGAGGTAACCTGCGGGCAAAACCAGACTTTACCGTGGGCGCTGTCTCTCCTCACACGCACACTCCCCCTGTCGCCCACCAGGCATTCACACCCCCTGCAGCCTGACAGCAATCCCCAAGAAAAGTACTCTCATCCCCACACCAGGAAAGGGGAAAGTGAGGCTCTGAGAATGGAGGTGACCTGCCGGGCAGCTCACATGGCAAAGGCAGTGGCATGCAGGAGCCAGCTCAGACCGGTTCACACTGGCTCATGAGAGCTGATGGTTAAGTTTTCAGGAATTTTGCAAGCCAATTGTTAAACATGGCCATAATTAAAAGTTATATTACATAAATTTACAATTAAATAACATATTAAAAAGGTACTACCACTGAATGTCACCTGCAGAAGAATGAAGTGAAACCTCTACCTCACACCATATATAAAAATGAACTCAAACTGTATCACAGACCTAAATGTAAGAGCTAAAACTACAAAACTCTTAGAAGAAGACAAAGGAGTAAATATTCATGAATTTGGATTTTGCAGCCAATTCTTAGATTTGACACCAAAAGAATGAGCAATTCACAAACAAATAAAAAGAGATAAATTGGACTTCGTCAAAATTAAAAATTTGAGCATCAAAGGACACATCAAGGAGATGAAAAGACAAAGGACTCTTACAACTCAACAACAAAAAGATAACGCAATTTAAAACTGAGCAAAGGACTTGAGTAGACATTTCTCCAAGGAAAATACACAAATGGCCCAAGTACATGCAAAGATGCTCAGTATCACGAGTCATTAGAAAAATGGGAAACAAAATGCCATGAGATGTGACTCCTCACCAGCTAGCATGGCTGTGGGAATCATAATAACGACCTGGAAATCACAAGTGCTGACGAGGATGGGGAGGAATCGGAGCCCTTCTGCACTGCTAGCGGGAATGTAAAACGGTGCAGCCACATGGAGAACAATGTGGCAGCTCCCTAAAAAGGTAAAGATAGAACTACTCCTTGACCTGCAATCCCACTTTTGGGGATATACTCAAAAGAATCGAAAATAGGTATTCAAATACAAACCTGCCTTCTCTCATAACTCAAAATAGCCCAAAGTTGAAATCAACCTGGATATCCATCCACTGATGGATAAATAAGCAAAATACATTATATCCATATGTTGGGATATTATTCAGCCATAAAAAGAGAAAAAAAAACCTTAAAAACATGCTACAACATGGATGAATCTTAAAAACACGATGCTGAGTTCGAAAAGCCAGACTCCAAAGGTCACATATGTATAGTTCCATTTATCTGAAAAACCCAGAATAGGCAAATATATAGACACACAAAAAGCAGGTTATGGTGATTGCCAGGGGTGGGAAGAATGAGGAATGGCTGTTTGCTGAGCACAGGGCTTCCTTGTGGGGTTACGGAATACTCTGGGGCCAGATAGAGGTGGTGGCAGCACGCTGTAAGTGTGCCGCCCCTGATTGTACACTTCACAGAGCTAAAATGTCAAATTTAATGTTATGTAAATTTTACCACAGGAATAGGTTACTAAACACTCAAAGCTCATCACTTACTAATTATTTCATTACAACTTGCCATTCTCAATGCTCTTGAGGTTATTTACATTGATTGTATCATTATAGTGGAAATACCATCTAATGGTGTGGTACCTCTCCCCAACTTTGGATGCTGTAATGTTATGTTGATAGCCTGGAACTGGCCACATGGGGAGTATTTACACTGCAGTGATTGACAGGTGCCACATGAATATTCTTTTATCCTGGGACCATCTCTCCCCATTCTCTGTTCCTCACAAACTCATCTAACATTATAGATCTCACAGTAACATGCCACCTGCCAAGAGAGAGAGAGAGAGAGAGAGAGAGGGAGAGAGAGAGCTTTTACTTTTCAAAGGAAAGACTTGAAGACACATCTTTAGAGATTAGTAGGTGGCTACTAGAATTCTTCAGCGCTGACATAGTGGAAGACTATGTCTGACACCACAGAGCTGCATCCTTCCTACGATGCTCCCCAAGACCACTGGACCTGAGTTCCTGACCCTCATTGCTGGGGGTCGCCTGGACCCAGTTCCCTTGGCTCTGAGAGCAGGTCACTTGGCTCTGGAAGGACCAGGTGGAATAATGCCTGTGACAACACAGAACGGCTCTGAGAATGGAGGTGACCTGCCGGGCAGCTCACATCGCAAAGGCAGTGGCATGGAGCAAAAGCCTGTCGCCTGAGTTTTCAAAGGTCTTCCATAATACTTTGAACGATTAATGCGTGACTGCTCCCCCCTCCCCCCACATCCTGCCTCCGACCCCCTTGCTCTTCCCCCAGAAGTCAATGCAGCAGGCTCCCCTAGGGCTCTGAGAAGGGGTGCTGTCTCAGGTGGTGTCCCAAGTAAAGGATGTCATTGCCAGGACTTTGTTTGGGAGGTGAACCCAAGAAGCAGCTGCAGGGGGGTGGGAAAGTGGGGTGACAGAGCTGTGAAGCCAGTCCCACCATGACAGCTGGAGCTTCGTGGGGGTTCACACTGAGATTGTGCAGACACACCTCTCAGTTCGGGAGGAGCCGTCACACTCTGAGGGCCACTGCTCGCAGGTCCAGCTGGACACACCAAGCCAGTTCGGTGGCCCCAGAAAGCCGCATGGCCCGTAGCAGGCTCTAGCTGGTCCTTGCGGAGATAGATCGATGGTCAGGGCTTCTGCCGCAGCTGCTGTGGCAGAAACAGGACAGAGCCTTCTGGAGACCAGAGCCTAAACCTCGGGAGGAAACCAGAGGGCGAGCAGTTCTCCCGTCCTCAGGAGCAGGTGGGAGGTGAACAGTCAGGATGGAAGGGAGAGGACCTGCAACTTCTGCTACAGTGGGGAGTTGGGTACAGGGATGACCCCAGGGAAGGCCCCAGGCCTCAGAGCAGCAACATCCACAGCATGTGTCCTGCTGAGAGGAATGGATGGTCTTAGCACCTGGAGCCAGGCAGCCCAGTTACCCTCCACAGCACCTGTGAGCAGCCGAGGACGGAACAGGTGGGACTGAGGGCGATGAGCTCGAGGGGGTCAGTGCAGGCCTGCTGGGGTGCTGAGGCCTGAGCCCACGTGCCCCGAATGAACCCAGCCTTGGGGAGAGGAAGGAGGAGAGTAAAAAACCCAGACTGACTGCCTTGTGGGGGGAGGGCTTGAAAATAGGCATTGCAGGAAAGGCGTGGTGCTGACACACCTGTCGCTGTTGCTTTGTTCTCTGCAGCCTGCTCTGGGAGCACAGCAAAAGTCATGGCTCTTTGTTGCAGCTGATTGCTGCTGGCAGCGTAATGCACCAGCTATAACCTCCTCCTGTGAGAGGGCATGTGCCAGCTAGACTCACTGTCCAGTGCTCCCCCTTGCCATCCTGAGGGGCCAAAGTGTGGGGACTCTGCCAGGAATCAATTCTAGCATGTGATAATTACAAGAGTTTCATCAAAAGGTTGGAGAAGCTTGGGCAGCTCAACAAGGGTGAGCCAATATGTAGTTCACCTGTTGGAAAAGGCTAAATGGCACTTCCCCAAAACCTGAATAGGATAATCACTTGCTGCCAGACAGCTCAGGGCATTGTATTGCCTCCTGTTGGCCAAACACCTGAACAGCTGTAGGCTATTCCCCAAACTGACAATGCTTCTGTACCCTTTGAAGCCTTACCCTTTTGAAGTGTATACCTCCACCTTGCCTTAGGACAAATTGTGTTAAATAAATATCATGGGTTCCTTAGACAAAGAGGAGTCTTCAGTTCCTTTACCTGAAGATCCTCTGGCTCCCAATAGCTTTCAAAATTATCTTTCATCTTTGGACTCCTTCTTAATCTATGCATCAGCCCCTTTGTAATGGTGGGACCAAGAACTCAAGCATATGGTGCCCAACCTGGGGCTTAACCCTGGAAATGCAAACATTAATGGAACACTTCTGGAGAAAGAAGGATTCGCCTGAGTGAAAAAACCGGAATGGTGGTAAAATTAACTGTGCATAGAGCCCATGTCAGCTTCGGAACCCCACAGATCCGTAAGTGCGTGAGTGATACTTTGTGTTTAAATCATATTATAATGGGGGAAAATTTGGTCAAAAGGCAAAATTATAAAGAAATTGGAATATCTAATGGTACTTTCGAAAATCAGGCTGAAAAAAAGAGTGCCGTGATCATCTTTAATGTGGTTTCTTGTTCAAATTAAAATCTTAATTTGTATTTGGAATCTAAAATCTGTAATAAGAAATGAATCCCCACTGCTGAAACCACCTCTGGTGCAGACAGACTCAAAGGCGGCAGGAGAGGGCAGAGCTATATACTCTCCCAAAGAAAGTCTATTTAAAGTTTTGTTTAAAAATTACCAAAGAATATCTTTTTTAAAAAATATATATATATTTTATTGATTTTGTACAGAGAGGAAGGGAGAGAGATAGAGAGTTAGAAACATCGATGAGAGAGAGTCATTGATCAGCTGCCTCTTGCACACCCCCTACTGGGGATATGCCCGCAACCAAGGTACATGCCCTTGACCAGAATCGAACCCGGGACTCTTCAGTCCCCAAGCCAACGCTCTATCCATTGAGCCAAACCGGTCTCAGCAAAAACATCTTATTATAACCAAATTTTGGCTAAGAGAAGCTTAAGTGCTAGTTATTACTTTGGAAAGCGGAAAAAAAAAAATTAAGATTTGTCTTTATCTGTTAAGCATGAAAAGATATTCGGCCAGGTCTGTTACTGAAAACTTCCCCCAAAGCAAGCAGGGTGTGGGGGAAGGGAGACGCATGGCAAGCCAATATGGAAGCCCACTCTCCCAGTGTGCTAATTTAAAGTCTCCTTTTTCGCCATGAAAATTTAGAAATGTGTCTCGAATTTCTGTGCTCAGGAGGAGAGAACCTAGCCTAAAACAAAATATGCATGGTCCAATTTTGGATCTTAGGTAGTTTTTAGCTGGAACCTCTTTACAAAAGCTACAGAAATGAAAAACCCAAGACTGTTTTTTTCTCAGAAAGGTGGTGTAAAGAAACCAACAGG